AAAAAAAACAACTAGATTGAGAGAAATAAATAACAATAACTAAGCCTGCATCAAAATAAAAAAGGCTATCCAACTGGCTTTGCAGTAACCAAGGAAAAGAGGTTGTTCAAGGAACATTTGAAAGCTTACATATGCATACCAAAAACATGTCTCGTAGTAAATATGTTTTTTGATCAACAGTGGCAACAATGACCAAAGCAATAACAACACTTTCACCTCAAATTCATTAAAAGACAACTAAGTAAATTTACCTTTGCTAATCTACCATTATAAACATTTCCAACTGAACATTTTTTGCTTTCCATCCAACATTTTATGGAACACTGCAAAAACTGCTTGTACTTTGCTGGAAAACTATTTATGTGCAGTTTCATCCTCTGAGAGCCGTAAACTTTTTGCACCACTCCGACAAGCAAACAACGAAAAACACAAAGTACTGCCGATAAACAGCGTTATCAACAACCGACAACAACATCTCTAAGATAATAAAACATGGGTGAAAAAATTACCATCATCGTCGCCTTCGTCATCAACATCACCAACAAAACTTTGATGCAACCAGAGAACTCTTCTCCAAACTTAAAGCAGCTAATTTATTTCTAAATATAGCAGTTTCTTCCTCCTTTCCGCTGTTATTTGAGTCGACAAACCAACAAAAAGAAATTAATGTTCATCAGTGAATGATTAACAAATGATTATTTTTCAAAAGCAAGATGAATTGCAAAAAAACAAAAAAACTTATACATGTATTCCAATTCAAATCCCTCACTATTCATCAATTAACACTGCAGAATGTGTTCAAAACAGTAAAAAAACGTCGTCAATATTTGTTATAACGTAAAGAACGGCAACGAATTACTGAGCTATATACAAAATTTTTTAAAAAAAATAGATATTCATTGTTCCCGGAACTGAAGAAAAAATGCTTCAAAAGGATTACCAATAGAAAAGTCCTGAACCTTGAAACAGAGGCTATCACATGCGATTCACAATAAAATACATCAAGCGAAATTGCTTATAAACCACAGCTTTATGCTACCAACATGAGCAAAAAAAAAAAGTTATGCCTAGACGATATGTGTGCAACAGCAAATCTTCTTAGTTTAGAGGTGTCCCAAAGCTCACTGTTTCACAATAAAACTAACATCAAAATTAATTGTACTATACAGTGATAGAAAGGCAAAAAATATCTAAAGTGATGTTTATATGTCAAAACTGAAGAGTAACAAAACAGTATCACAAGTATTCAAGTGAAGAACCAAGAAACAAAAAGCG